TATTTTAAAATTTTAAAGTTATAATTTTAAAATTTTAAAATTGAAATTAAAATTGTAGTAAAAAATTCTAACATGTTATTTATACATACATATGAAACTTTATTAATTAGGTTACATATATTTAAAATAAATAAATTAATTAATTAATAAATAAATAAAGTTTACTAAATCTGAGAAATGACTTAGCTAGTTTTGTAGTAAGTGCCATTTAATATTACTTAAATAATATTTAAATTTAAAGAGAAAAAAAAAAAAAAAAAAAAAAAAAAAAAAAAAAATTTACATATACTTTGATATGGAAAATAATCTTACTTAATATGAGTAATTTTCCTTCTGTTATAAAGTAATATAGTCTATTAAAACTAAACAATGAAAATATTTTAAAATTTTAAAGTTGTAATTTTGAATTTGTAATTAAAATTGTAGTTAAATTGAATGAATTCTAACCTAAATTTTTTTTAAATAATATACACGCATTAAAAAGAATCCAAAAATAACACCTATAGTAAAATAAAATTAATATGAAATACCATAACATTTTTTGAATGACCCATGTCCTCAGTACTTACATGTGAAATATTATAATAATAGGTTTTATATAAAAGAAAAGTTTACTGAATCAGTGAAATTAAGTAACCATTTCTGCTGTCATAGTCATATACAAAAAAAAAAAAAAAAAAAAAATGTAACCTCATATACATACATACTTAAACTTAATGTTAAAATAATCCTACATAATATAATGGATTCTAATACATTTAACTGTTCTAAAAAAAGAATATAGTAAAATAAAAATTAAAAAGGAAAATATTTCAAATCGTAGTTAAATAAAAAGTATTGTAAAAAAAAAAATCTTTAATTTTAAAAGATGACGTTGAAAATTTTTTACCGTTTTTTTTTTTTTTTTTTTTTTTAAAATTCAGACGACATCCATTCAACCGACGTCAGGTTTCAGTGTAAAATACATCCTCACCCCTTACCAAAATGTAGCTAATAACTGATACAATGATACTGTCATAAGGAAAATCTAGACACCCCGTGTTCAATTTGAGTAGAATATTCTGTAACCATGGAAACGTGATTTTAGCTGTGTATTTAAAACCCGGTAAATTTTAAAAGTTACTCCAAAATTCGCTTGAAGATGAAATAGAACTAATGCTTTTAATTTATTTGCAAAAAATAAAATTAGGGGTTTTAGCTTCTATTTTTGAAACATGGTTGGAACTGTGTAGCGAAAATAACCATATTTTAAATCAATTAATTTATAATATATATATATATATATATATATATATATATATATATATATATATATATATATATGATTGTTATCCCAATTTGAAGGAGACAGCTCTTGCAACAGCCTTGTCACAGCTGACTAGTTTGCAGGATGCAGTCGGGACGTGAAGTCAATTTTGTGCTGATGGACATCAAAACTGTCCCTCGCCCTCCTTACAGTGAAAACCTTGACCCTGTGGTTTTGGTTGTTCCCCAAACTCAAGGGCAGTCGTTTTGAAAACATTGAAAAGATGAAGGAAGTTGTGACAAAAGTCTTGGATACCTTCACTTTGGATGACTTACATGGGGCCTTTACGAATGATTGGAGCGCTACAAGAAGCGCATTGTAGTCAGAGGATCGTACTTAGTAGGAGATTAAAGTTTTGTACTTTTTTGAAATTAATAAATATTTTCATTAAAAAGTCTAAAAATTTCTGAATATATTTGTTTATATATATATATATATATATATATATATATATATATATATATATATATCGGTCTGAGATTTTACCTGCTGACAATTGACTTGAACTGTTGAAACTTTTGATACGGCTGTAATTCAGATATTTTATCTGAGATTGCCAAGTTGTTTGCATTATCTCTCATGACATTCCCAACCTTTTGGAATTTTTTTATCTGATTCAGTTCTACGGCTGAGGGTTGCATCAAAGCTCCAAGCACCCATTTCTGAAGAGTCAAGCCACCCATAAGCAGAAAAGCACCCTGAAGTCCATAACAATTCAGGAGAAAATGCGTTAGAAGAGGCATGACGATAAACCCAATGCCTATTCCAGAAACGGCAATCCCCGAGGCTACGGGCAGATACCGGTCAAAATTGTATCCGAGCAGGACCCAGACAGGCGGGTACGAGATACCAGCACCTATACCTATGGAAAAAAAGAAAAGAAATACAGTTTTTTCGTCTTACTGTTAATTATACATATCTCGTTTTAGATGCATTACATTAATTGAACGTTCCAATCAAGACTACTTGCATGTCTGGTTTAGTGAAGTTCAGGACTTAATATGTAGTTTAGGCTGCAACGCGACATGAAGACGGAATTATGCATACCGATCTCGCATATTTTTTTAGTTTTTCATTTATTTTTTTTTTTGGTAAAGGGCTATCAAAACAAAAAAATTGTTTTCTTTCGTGAAACGTGGTACCGAGTGTTAATTGTAAGGCACGATGTAGACAAATGGAAAGTGCTCGATGTTTTGAGATGATTTTTATTGTAATTTCTATACATAATTTTTGTGCTTTTGTCACAACACATTTAGCAGCAAAATTCTTTGGTTTTCTAATTAGATAACTAGAATTAGTGTCAAGAAAATGAAAATCTGATCTCTTTTCAGTTGACTTGTTGCACTTGACTAGGTGCCAAGCCCACGTGATATATTTTACCATTAAGGATAAATCTTACTTAATATAAAACACAGATTGTGTGTGTGTGTGTGTGTGTCTGTACGTTTATATATTGGATCGGATTTCCTACATTTTACAACCGATTTCAACAAAACTTCACAGGACTACATAAAATTACCTTGCGGTGGTTCTAACAGCGCCAAATTTTGGAAAAACACAATTGTTTTTGCACGAAATCAATTTGAATGCACGGTTAAGTGTATCGCACCCGGCCGGAAGTTACTGCCGGCTACTCAAACGTCCGAATGCCGTTAACTTCCGGTGATTCAGCGTTTTTTTTTGTTTTTTTTTCAGAGAACGATACACAAAAAGTAAACAGATGAAATCTAAACATACACAAGTCCTCCTAACTAAAAATAATAACCGGAAACTACTTTAAATACACATGGTGTCCAAATATTTTTACTGTATTCAATAAGTAAAAATCATAAATTGTAAAAGATTACAGAAAGGCTACTAAATGAATACGATTTGTTAGATCATAATTAATAAACCCCCAAAAGTTAAAATTTTTTGTATTAGAAACAACGAGTGGAAAATATATTCAAATCAGAATTCTAATTATGAATCACCACAAGCAAAATATGCAATGTTTTTACTGTATTCAAATAGGTAAAAATCATAAATTGTAAAAGATTACAGAAAGGCTACTAAATGAATACGATTTGTTAGATCATCTTACTTATTATAAAATGTAGATTGTGTGTGTGTGTGTGTGTCTGTACGTTTATATATTGGATCGGATTTCCTACATTTTTCAACCGATTTCAACAAATCTTCACAGGACTGCGTAAAATTACCTTGCGGTGGTTCTGACAGCGCCCAAAATTGGAAAAGCACAATTGTTTTTGCACGAAATCAATTTGAAAACACGATAAAACACAATTCTGTCGCCAGAATGAAAGGTGGACAACTCATATCGAGTTATACTTATTATAAAACCCAGGTTGTTTGTGTGTATGTGTGTTCGTTTATATATGGGATCGGATTTCCTACATTTTTCAACCGATTTCAACAAAACTTCACTTTTTTGGCAGGTAGTGTTTCTTATTGTCTTGCACTCTTTTTTCTTTATTTTTACATTCAGAATGCTTTAAAAATTCCATTTACAAGACAATTGTTTATAATAAAATTCTATTCAATCGATAGACTCATAACGATTGAAAACAATGTTTTTGTTTGAGTTTGACTAATTCGTAAAAAACAAAAAAACAAAAAAAACTAATTAAGACATGCGTGTCCGTCAACCTTAAACAATGATCTTTGTCAATTTTATTTTTCAGTCTTTATGATGGTCGATACTTGATCTATCTCTTACTGTTACATCCCCGGGCAACGCCGGGCTCTACTGCTAGTATATATTAAATTAAATATACATTTCAGGTAGCGTTTGTTTTTTTTCTCGAAAGGGTTAGGTAGCTCCGCAGAAAACGCGATACTTAAGGATTAAAATTAATTTTTAAAAATGAAAAATCTTTCTTGAAGCTTTTATTTTAGTTTTAATTTCAAGCTAATAGATTAAACTTAGTATTTCGAATAATCAAAATACTTTGCTGTATTTCAAAAACTAATTTAGATTGATAGGATTTTTTTTCTAAAACAGCTGAATAGCACTCTTTTTTAGTTGTCTTTTATCGCAATGTGATTCTCTTTATTAAAAAAATCTTCTAAAAATAAAACATATTATTTACTTTAAGTTTAAAATATCATAGAAAGCATTTTTTTTTAAACACGGTGGTAGCTGTTTATTTCAGTTGTAGACATGTTTCACAGCTTGGTGACAGATTAATGGTTATGTTTAGCCATAAAGTAACTGGATATAACGAGCACGTTTTTATATATAATTTATATAATGTACTCAGTAATCTTTAAAATTTAAGAAAATATTCTCAGTAATGTTTATTATTGAATTTTAAATACTTTGTGGCTTTAATTTTACTATAATTATCGCAATTATTTTCTAATAATGTCGTATATGGACATCCGTATCTACAAAACCGGCACGTTTATACATATAAAAAATCAAAATTCTTTTTAAAAATATTGGTGTTTGATGATTTGTATTGAGATTTTCCATTTATGATTAGTAAATATAGTGTTGCAGCGTTAAGCAGGTTGCCTGTTAACCCCGCAAGCAGAAAAATAATATAGGGTAATAAGATCGAGGCAAGGACAACAAAGACGAGGATGTAAAAGTTTAAGCCGAATTTTATTAAATAATCTGGCACAAGTATATACAGATAATCGTTTGTGGTAGTTCGGTCGTGTAGTTTTGAAGGAGCGTTGTCAGGTTTCAAGGCGACAGCTTGAAGGTAGGCCGATGGAACAGCGGTGTTCGAGGTCCAATCGATCCCTGGATGTCTGTACTTGAGTAAAGAGCGCGTCGGCGCTTGAGGAGAGAGAGGATCGACGCGGACGGCGCTGGTGTAGTCAGTTCGTCTTTGGTATGACTGTCGTGCAGGATCGCAGCTTGGTAGTTCTAATAAAAGGACATTTGTAATAACGCGGCTAGGTTAGTCCTGAAAAGGACTATTGCATATTATGTAACCAGGCGTAGTCCGGAAAAACGACTACTGCATATCATGTAACCGAGAGTAGGCTCTTGCATATCATGTAACCGAGGGTAGGCTCTTGCATATCATGTAGCCGAGTGTAGGGTAGTGCATATCATGTAGCCGGCTGCTGCTGCTGCTGTTGAAGCTGGGTCGGCCGGCTACTGCTTGAAGCTGGTCGGCCTGATGTTGCTGCCGATGGTTGAAGCTGGTCGGCCTGATGCTGCTGCCGATGGTTGAAGCTGGTCGGCCTGATGCTGCTGGTTGAAGCTGGTCGGCCTGATGCTGCTGCTGATGAAGCTGGGCTGCTGGCTCTGGCTGCTTCGTGTGGTCAGCGAAGGTGAGAGGGGGAGCTCGTCGCTTAACCCCGAGGCCAAAATCCTCGCTTTTCGGCCTTGTGCCACAATTTTGTATTTTTACAAAATAAATCCCCGCCGGGAGAGAATGGTATTTACTTGACTCCCACAAAGTCAAGATGTGACACAAGGTCGTTTAACGTGGGAGACCCGAGTGTTTCCACTCAAAGGCCACTGGTCCAAAACTGGTCATAGCTTGTCCAAGCTGGTCAGAGCCTAGTCAAAGCTGGTCATGACTTGTCCTAGCAGGCCCAGGCCGGAGCCAGTCCAAGACTTGATCGAATCTCAGCCATAAGAAACGGTGCAATATTTGTCAAAAAAGCCCCAGCATAAATCGGCTGTGTTTATATAGGCTGAGGTCGGCAACGTAGCCTGTTAGCGATATCTTTGGGGTGATGACTGAAAATTACCTTCTACTTTTTGGCTGTACACATGGGTTCCATTTCAACACCATGTGTATATAAAGTAGTTTCTGGTAATTGTTTTTGGTTAGGAAGGCATGTGTATGTAAATGTTTCGTTTGTTTTGAGTTTGTGTGAGTCGTTGACTGAAAAACGCTGAGTCACCGGAAGTTAACGGCATTCGTTATGTTTTCCGCGGTGACGCTTTTAGATGTTTGAGTAGCCGGCAGTAACTTCCGGCCGGGTGCGATAATAGTTTTATTTAATAATAATATCATCTAATAGGCTGGAATTAATAGAGAATCGTAAAAGATTTAAAATTTAATAAATTACAACGGTCGACATAATTTTCGTCTCAAATGTTGTTGGGCAATGGGCACATGTTTCTGGGCTATTTTTTTCACGCTGAATCTGAAAATTAAGGCCATTTTACCCCATCACATCACGTTTTCTTAGTACAGACAATTTCTATTATCCCAATAACATAAAGAATGCATTTTCAGCATCTTCAGTTCAGAAAAAGTTTTCAGAAAAATCTCACATAAAATTAAATTAAGGCAAACATGTGTCATCAATTTTTGAATCAAAACAAAGATAGAAAGGAATGAAAAATACATTCATTTTTGTCCATCCAAAGCTATAAATCTTCTCTTCTTGGAAACTCTACGGTGCTTTTGAAAAGGTTGATCTCTTTTGATAAGGTTGATCTCTTTTGATGCTCCAACACAACTCAGCCATCATGTTAACATCCCATCTGCCTAGTTAGTATGCCGATCTGGTGTTTGGTGGCTATTTTAAGTCGCTGATAAAAAATTCTAATCTTGATATATTCAAAATACACTCGCCTAACACCCTAACAACCTTCATTTATCGATGTTCCTATGTATGTTATACAGAGACTACATGATAATACCAGACCTCTGTAAATTCAAGCGATATAATAAAATCTTATGATGGTTTCAGTCTTAAAATGAAAACTACTAATAAAAACTAAAATCGCTGTTCTTGAATGACATCTAAAGAGCTTCTTCTATGGAAAGTAGAGAAGAAACACAAATCACAAAGTTTTAACAAGTTAAGAACATTGCGGGCACAAGAACATTTTCCAGTGTGATATCTCTCATAAAATCGAAGCATTTTCAGGTCAGCGTATCTGAATTGAAATAGCTTAGAATTCATTTTGAAAGTTATTTGGATATTTTTCTTGAATGATAAATCATTTTAACATGAAACGAAATATTTCAACTATGTCACTCGCATATTTAAGTCGTGGCATATCCCTGTGAATTAGGCATTTCGGTCTCTTTTAAGCAAAACAAATATTTTCTATTTCAGCCTGAAACAATAGAGCAGAAACATGCGCCCATTGCCCAACAACATTTGAGTTGAAAAAAAAAGTCTACCTCTGTTATTCTAAATAAAATTAAAAAAAAAAATGAAAATAATTCTTGTAAAAATTCATTATTGAATTTTTTTTTCTTTAGACAATAAACTCTTTTATATATTTTATTTCTAAAAGCAATTAAAAGATTTTCTAATTGAAAAAATGTCAAGGTTTTAATGGGTTTTTTTATTTTACGATTCAAAGCATATGTTCAGTAAATGATATTTCTGCTTGACAAAAACAAATTGATGATTCAAATTCTCCAATGAGTCCTGCTTTTAACTAATATAAATATGAAGAGGGTGGAATTTTAATTTCTCGAAATTGCATAAAATTAAGTGATACTGATTTACCTGACCTAAAGTCGAACACACAATAGAATTCATATACAAAATGTAAGAACACAATTCTTTATCCGCCTGAGATATCAAGCTACACCGCATTCATTAACAAGTTTAAAAGTCGGTGTTCACCGGAAATCAATCAACAAAAACGACCTAACAAATTTCTATTCTCATCATAACAACAAAATAAAATCCTGCATAATCATCGGATTCTGCTTAAGAGCACTCAGAATATGCAGCCCGCAATATTTATACGAAAAGGAGAAATGCATCGAAAACACTTTCAAACTTCTCCAGTAGCCGAATTATTACATGTTCAATGCGAAACAAAAGGCCATAAAATATTCCAAAACCAAAAATTGCCCCTCCTGAAAAACCTAATTAATAAAAAAAAAAAAAATATTATCCTACCAACTAACTTTATCACATCTACAACGTAAATGTCTAGAGAATGCCTTGATCACATGTTCTTCTACAGTAAAATTGTGCCCTGGATCTTACAACATTTCATCATTCCTGGCAGATATTGCAATATCACAGTGTGGGATTCCAACTAACAAAAGTGATGGAAAGAAAAAGAAAAAGACTCTACATGTAAAAAAAACAAAAAAACAAACTAAAATCCCCAGCACCCATCATTTGTGCGCATGTTTAACCGTATCAAGGTAAAAAATTTAGTTCGATGAAGTCCTGAAAGACGAAAAGCGTCATAAGTAAACTTTTTCCACTTTATCATACAACTTCCCCAATACACACACACACACACACACACATATATATATATATGTATATAATTAATAAACAATAAAACCCAAAATTACCTCATATGGGGAATAGCCTATTTCGGCAGACGAAGATATCGGTCGTCTGTCTAATCACAGATGTGGACTGAGTTCGTGTCTATACAGTGAGGAAGGGGCGCGAAATAGAATTTAACTGTAAAAGCTAAAAAATCAACCAGTCAAAAAACTAATGCAGAATTTATCCATTTCAGTGTTTCAGTCAGACGAAAGGCATGAGACAGTGCTCAGGGGAGGGTAGAATATATTTGTCTTAAAGGGAAGAAGTTTTATAAAATTAAACCCGAATATTAACATTAGGACATTAATTTGTTGTTATATGAAGAATGAAATATTAATTTAAAATTAAAAGAGGAATAAAAAGGGGTCTAAAAGAAAATTTAAAATATATAGATAACAGGATGTAATGGATTAATGGAAGAGAGATGGGGAGATATTAAAGTAGGGGTAAATTTCTTGCCCCAGTTAACAGCAGATTGAATGTCTTTTTTGAGATCAGCTGCCAATTTGACCTTATCGAGGTGGGATAGCATATTTATTCTTATTTAAGAGCCGCCAGTAATCACAAGAGCCAATTTTGCAAGATGCTTAAGTTGAGGACACGTTTAAAATTGTTACGAGCAAACACAAATAGGCTTTTTGTTTTGATCAGATATATCACGTTGGAAGACACCTGGAAGAAGTGATGCTTGTTGGCTATAGCGGTAGACACAGACCGGCATGAACTAAGAAGAAGATTGTGGTTTCACCTGGTATTTTCAAGAAGAAACAAAAGCTAGCTTTGACCACCGTTCTCATTAGAAAGATTAAAAATCTTAATCCAAGGGGTATCAAAGAAAGTTCCGAAATGAATCCCAGTTAGTATGCTGGTAACAGAAAGCAGTCCTGTAAATAGGATGTTCTTTTTTTAATAGACGACGCAAAAGAAATATCAACAGAAACTATCGCGTGATCCAAATTGCCAAGAGGATAGAATTGTGATGCTCGAAAAGAGCTAGGAGAGGAGTTAAGGAACAAATCAAGTAAAGAAGCATGTTAACTGCATGGCCTGAAGATTACGTTCATGCATGAAATATAGTGTCACCGATCGGTGTTAACCTCAGTGTTCACTTATATATATATATATATATATATATATATATATATATATATATATATATATATATATATATATTTTATATATGCATATTTTTTCCGTATACCGGGCTGAATATTCAGGAAATCTTATTTAAAAAAATATATGCGCTCTCCAGCAGGTTAAATATACTGTTTATATATATATATATATATATATATATGTATAAATATATATATATATATATATATATAAACCACATATAAGAGAAATTCAAAGATACCCATATGCATAGCTATTTCACCCCACAAAAACTACCTTGCAGGATTTGTCAACAACAAGGGGTTGCAAAATAAAATAAAAACGAAAAGGGAAATAGAATAATATAGACAAAGCTTAAACACAGCGACATGGTGGTAGGAGGGGCTAGTGTTAGGATTCAGACATCAATTAATATAACTTTGAGCTATATTTTAAAATATGAACATCTAGTTTAAGGAAAATTACTTTAAAAATTAGAGAAGATTTTTATAATTATTTAAAAAAAACTTTTAAGGAAGAGTAATTAAAAGGTAGAATCTAAATTAAAAATACATATAATATGATAATTAAAATAATAATTAATGAAATAATTATTAAAGACAAGTTATCAAGTATATTTAATAAAAAATATCACATATTAAATATAAATTAATAGGTAATAAATATAAGCTAATAAATAAATAAATTTAAAACAATATATAAATGAAATATAAATTAATTATTAAATATAAATTAAAAATTAAACCATTTAATAAATGTAAATATAAATTAATTCTTAAATATAAAATAAATTGATGTAAATACAATTAACTATTAAAAAAGTATAACTTAATTGTTAAATATAAGTTTTAAATATTAAATCTAAAGTTAAATATAAAATTATAATTTAAATAAAATTTAAATAGAAAATTTAAATAAAATTTAAATAGAAAATTTATAAATAGAAAATGATTAAATGAAATATAACAATACATATAGTAAGGACAAAAATAAAAAAAAGTAATAATGATAATAATAATAGTAATGATAATGATAACAACAGTAAAAGTGATAATAATAGTAGTAATAATAATAATAATAACAAACCTATGTAGGAGGAAGGTTATTTGATAGGAATGATTTGGAGTATAAATAACATGCGTTAGGTAATAACAGATTAAGCAAGATCGAAAATATTCTAGATCAGTTTGAACTTCGGTGACATCATTTGTAAACTAACTCATTCCTTTGATTTAGTCGTATACTTTCATTATCGAATTTAATAATTCTAATCTTCTTTTGTAAATACAGGTGTGGCAGGGGAGATATCACCCCTGAAATAATAATAATAATGATAATAAAGGAGGATATGCTATGAAACAGAAAACAGTGAAAAAAAAGTGAAAAGAGGTTTTTTCGAATAACCAAAATGTTAAAATGCTGTAAGGACTTTGAAATGTAAATGTTACAGAAAGTTAAATTAGAACACGAAATACAATCTTTTTGTAAGTGTACAAAGGATATCAGATTACTAATAGAAAATTACTGGAACGATAATAATTTGATCTAGAATTTATTTTTAAAACAAGAATCTCTGTAGTTTACAAAGAGCGGCAGAATAATTAATAGCGAGGTGATAAAAAATAGCGTCTTGTTGTGAACCTTGGAAACCAATCGATGAAAAAGTAAATTGTTTATTCTCGGAGGAGTGAAGTTGTACTTTGGTAGTATGTCAATACATTCGCACTAGAAAAACAGATACGGCATCAGTCTGGGACACGTAAGGCCGGTTCTCTTAATAAAGAGTCGAGCCAACCGGAGGAGACAGAGTTTTAGGTTCGTCTGTCTTTGAATGCAGTCGAACTGAGTGGAGAGACGTCAAAGATGGAAAAGGAAGCGTTCGCTGTATGTTGCTGAAGCTGAGGGCGAAGAAGCGAAATACCACCACTAACATCTAAGTACCGCTACTTCTGCTACTACTAATACTACTACTACTATTACTACTATTGAGAACGTGAACATCGAAGTTTGTAGTAATTGTGCTAAGAACAGGCCAAAAAGGGTTAAACACGATGGCCACATCTCTCCTTTACCGAAGTTATTCGAAATATTTGTGTTTGTTTGGTTATTGTTCACATACAAGAAACATTCAACCTTGTGCGACAAGAATTATTTTTTTGTGTGTGTTTGCTTATATATATATATATATAAATTTTGTCCTTTCAAAATCGAATCGATTTGGTTATATTTATTTTTCTGTTAATCCGTTTCTCACTCGACGAACTCGCAGGTGGACCAACGGTGAGCTTCCGGATTTCTACGATCTGTTGACCACTCTCCAGGATCAAAACAATCACAACGTGGCTAAGGGTGGCTTCAAATTGACATTGGGAACCGGAGACTTGTGTCTAACCTGTAATCGGACCAACAGCCGGTCCAGTGAGGTGAGGATACAGTGTTACATAGATTACATCCCCTATTTACACACACACACACACACACACACACACACACACACACACACACACACACATATATATATATATATATATATATATATATAAAGCTCAATAAATCCTCAACGTTAGAAGTAGACATTTACTTTTCAATATAATTCAATGGTGAATATTAATAAAAAAGATTGAGTATTATATAGTGACATTTTCAGATCGAAATTAAGTTAACAACATCAACCGACTACATTGATCTACCTTCATAAAGAAATGATAATTAACTTACCTGACAAAAAGGAATAAGTAAACAGAAAATGCCTTATGTCCTTTACGAAAAAAGAACTGGTGAACCCTAACGTTTCAATCGTTCCACCAATCAGTACAGTCTTCCGGCAGCCCATCTTGTAAACGAAGACGCTAGAGAGAGGACCTGTAAAATGAATTCGGATATTTTTAAACTCTTGATTTTATTTTGTGTAAGTGCGAAAAAGAAGGAAAAAATTTAGAAAGTAGTTTTGGCGAAATGATAGTTACTGACTTATTTGAGAATTCCATTCAAGATGGACGCACTTAGACACAAATTATTTAAAACAAAATTAACTATTCTTTTCTTTATATATTTATTTAAAGAATGACAAAAAATAAATTGTAATGAATAGTGTTATAATGAATTAAATAACGTCGGATTTGAATACAAATTATTGTTAATATTGTTCGTAATGAATTTGTACATTACTGGTGTTATTTTTATATAATACCAGGTTAGCCTCCCTAGAATACAAGGCGGTGATCGCATTCAATGCTTGGTTGAATTTGTTGAACAGCTTTACTCCATTTAAAAAACATATTTTTCATCTGATACGAAGTTCAAGTATCACTCAAGATAGAGGATTACTAAATGAGATTGTTGTAAGAGCGTATAAGGAGGGGGACCAAGTATCCAAACTTTCACGGTCGAGATCCGCCATGCCACGTACACAAAGTCGACTCATCCTCATTCCCTTCATATTCCATTGGTGAGGAGGAAGTTCTATTCAGCTTCTTCCCCAGAACTGTTGCATTGTGAAACGAAACCCAGAGGATGCTTTCCAGATCACTATAATCTTAATCTCTTCAAGTCAAGCGTCAACTGTTATTTATCCTACAAAACTTATGCACGTCTTACTCACTCCCTATACGTCTTTTCAAATGAACAATGTTTCGGCAGAAGAGAACTTGCTTATATTTTATTAATAAATAATTTTCTTTGGATATTTTCAAGATAGTTAAATAACTGAAACTAACAAATCCAACTAATTATTCTTTCGTCTAGATGACACAAAATGAGAAAATATCTACTTTCATCGTAATTATCCTGATGAACTTTCCTCTGTGGTACCTTTTTTAAGTGCAGTACTACATTGGCGGAAAGTCTCATCATTTTACAATGTAAATGGTTAGCTGTAACCGTAAGTTCTATGTTAACAATTTCTACTCTCGCACTTCTCGCGTGTAAAATTTTCTTTCGGCTTCTTGGTTCTCAATCAACTTTGATTTTCAACATTTTTAATGCAATGTCAATCATTATCTACTGTCTTCTTAATTCTTGTTCTTTTATTGTTCTCTCTCTCTCTCTTTAATAGTATTTTTATCATATTCTCTAACACACAGTAACCCCTTGCGTTATAGTGGCTTCACTGCCTTGCTTGGGGTGAAATGATTAAAAAAGCTAGATTGAGTTGCACGGAGAGAGATAAATTCTTCCACTGAATTTGATATTCTAAATTGTCTACATACTAAATTTCCTTAAAAACATTGTACACAGTCGGAGTTACATTCATGAGCAAGAGTTGTTAATATATATCAGCAATATTATTACTATTATTATTCAAAAATTTAAATGCTATTGTTATCTACTATCTTCCTGATTACTCTTCTATTGATCTCGCTCCTTAATAAGGTTTCTGCTTTCTAATTCTTTCACACACAGTAACTCCTTCTGTTTTAGTAGCTTTACTGCTTTGCTTAAATTCGATATATATATATATATATATATATATTTATATATATATATATATATATAATGAATTAATTAAGACGCTGAGCTCGATCAATATTTTAAAATTGCATTGAGCGAATGAAACCTCTGGGTCTAGGCAAAGATCTCACTTCTTGGAATTTTGTGGACTGGCGCTACAAAATCACATACAAGGAACTGTACGAAATAACTGAAATAACATCAATTTCAACAGCCGCACCTGCTAAAATGGATATCACATGTAACTCGAAGGGAAAATAATGACATAATGAAAATACTGATATTCCACTCTACTTCAAACAAAAGGTTAGGATGGAAACCTCTACGAATACTAAAAAAGAGCGATAATTATCTACTGAACTTGAAAAATTGTTTTAAAAGAAAGATTTTATGAATTCCAACAGAAAGTAGTACTGGATGATCGGTCACTGAAGGCCGAATGTTTCCTAATACTATTACCATTGCAAAAAAAAAAAAAAAAAAGAAAAAAGAAAGGGTTCAAAAGCACCACAAAGATAGAATGGCCCCCAGCCTATTCAGATATTAATCCAATAAAAAATTGCGTTCTATCATTAAAAGAGATAATTGAAAACAATGGTGAAGTAAAATGTTGCAAGTAATGTTAAAAAGTCAAAACAGTAGAATAACAAAATCCGTCCATGAAAGTTTGATGAGGGTGCCCATATTAACATATAAAACAATTTATTCAGCTATATGAAATATTTTGTTTATCAAATCTGTTTGTATAATCTAAATCTTTTGACTATAAATTAAAAAAAAAATGGTTTACTTTACATAATAAAATCTGACAACAACAAAACAAGATGATTTTAAATAAAATATTATAAACTGAAATTTACACTATATCCAGAATATTTTATCAAAATCGGTTGGTTAGTACTAATTTTAGTGTGAAATCATTGAGTAATATTGCATAATAAAATCTGACAATGTATATATTCATGCACGTATAAATATGTGTTTTGCATATATATGTGTCGGAAAACGATATATACATTTTTATATATCAGAACGATTTTTATAAAAATCTGTAACAAAGTGGAAAATAATATTTCGTGTGACGTGTTTCGTCCTTTAGAATTGGATGCGTTCTATGCTCGTGACCTTGAATGAAAACTATGATATGCTTAGGAAATATTTTTTTCGTTGTGTATATGTATAGCTGTGAACAAGGAGGTGATGAAAAGTTCTCGGCTCGACCCAGAAGGGATTTTTAAAAAAGGAATCATATGTTTTATTATTTTGTTAGATTTTGTGAATAGGGTCGGACAAAGAACTTTTTATTCCACCCCGTTTCATATATGTGTGTGTTTGTGTGTGTGTATAAAATATTCTATTTAGGGAGATCCTGACTAGAAAATGGCAGCTCTTTACTATCCTGACTAGAAAATGGCAGCTCTTTACTATCCTGACTAGAAAATGGCAGCTCTTTACTAGTGAATAACGAGTTCGATTCTAACTAGGTGCTCAATTCACGTGGTCTTGTGCCAAAATAAGTTAATTTTAGTAAGTACCGGGAGCACGCACATATGTGTATGTATCTGATTGTCTATACACATTTTATGCGTGCGTGCGTGCGTATGTGCGTGTGTCTTTATATGTATATGCAATCTTCCAGTTATGCTGGTCCACAACCCTGAGAAGTTTGTTCAATCTTTCATGGCTGCCTGCTACTTGTGGGCTTGAACCAGTCAAAATGAAGATGGTCATGAGAAGAAAGTAAATATTGTCTTACCGAGTAAATTATAAAATCCAGAATAAACGGAGCATATCCAGTTGATGTATTGAAAATCGCCATTCTCTACGTTTTGAAGCAGCGTCTGTCGGATTAGACCTGATGCGAATTGCAAAACGCCGCTGATGAAACAAATCCCAAAGGTTGGAATAAGAGACACCCAAGCCCAGGTCTTATCCATATCGTCTGGCATTTCCCCCCCGTGTTTCAATTTCGCAAAAATTAGACTCTTTTGAAGGTTAGAACCTCGTTGTAGAAAATAACACGGCCCTAAAATTCTACACACTCGTATTTCTCTGTGTCTGTTAAAAGTTGAAAAAAGATATCTGTCATCAGAAGCACTGCAGAAAACCTGACCGATATAGTTTCAGCTATTAACTCATAATCAAGACTAAGTTGCTTTCGTATTAAGCTATAAAAATATATGTTGTGTTTATGAGAAGTTATGTATTGCTAAATTGGTTATGCGATAAAAGACAATAAAAAGGAATTAAAATGAATAAAGATAAATATACAGTGAAACAAAAAGAAGCCATAAAGTGAAAAGGTGAAAGTTTTTAATAAAGAAAGAGAAAAAGTGTATGATGAGGTTGCTATATAAGATCTACGGCAAGAACAAATCTATCAAATAACAAGCATATTACCCGTAAAAAAATGATAGCTTATTGACGTAAAAATCAGCTCTTCTGCCAAAGGTAAGAATGTCTGATTCATATGTGGAAGGAAAAAGTAATTTCGAATCAAGGCTACCCAACAGAGCTCTAAACTGGACAACATTGATAACTAATGACGTTTGATAAAATTTTTAAATTCATGTTCGTTCGTATATTACTTCAAGGGTTTTTTGCTTGTTTTTATTTTACTTCTGTTTTTCGTAAATCTGAATCTCTTTTCAATACCCAGTATATCTTAGCCGTAGCTTTTCTCTTTTTGAATTCTTGAATCTAATATCACACCTAATCTTCTATCATGGCGGCCTTAGTTGAAATTTATAAGTCTACCATTCGTCCTTGCATTGAATATTGCTGACACATCTGGTCTGGTGCTCCTGTTATATATTTAAAGATTCTTGATAAAATCACAAGAAGAATCTGCAATGTAATCATTGCACTAACGAGGAAGTCGAAAAATTTCAATGCTAGTATGGCAGTGGTCAAGGGGATCGGGCAGTTTTTGTTCTTGACCCTAATGTACAGGTATGGGTAACTGATATCAAACCGACCATATATCACATAATATAACCATGGGAATTTGTGTGAGGTAAATACCGTCTTTACTCGATCTTCGAACTGAGATCAAAGTGCAATATCTGTCCTCTTTTCCTCTTAGTTATGAGGGGTGCCTAGTTCTGAGGATTCCAACCCTGCGGCAGCACCTCCTTCAGTGTGTGGGTTTTTGGATACCAAACAACAGCGTGACAGTGGTAGTTGTGTTTGGCCCATATGTACGTATATGTGCATACTACATTAAACAGACCAAGTATCACATCCCAACATTGTGGGGAGTCGATCAAAGTATTGAATCTGATCTCCTTCCGTCTTAAGGTTCTGGTTGAATCATAGTCACAGTATTTTGCTCCTTCCTTTCAGGGACGGTTGTTGGATAATGACGCTAGCGTGACAGTGGTCATTTGGATACTCTTTAATAATTATTTATACGTTATCATTGGGCTAAATGTCAACATTTTGGGAGTATATGAAACGAGGTGGCCAAACAATGGAGATTTTGTCAGTTACAAATACAGGATTACATATGCAGGCGTATAGAAAAATAAAAAAGAAGTTGGACTGATACTAGACCAATACATGAAGAATGTCGTTAAACTGAAAGGAAAGCCTTTCAACATATCCATCATAGTTGCGAATGCACCGACAGCACAACGTACAGAAGGAGAAAAGTTCTACTCTATGCTAGATAGCGCCAAGGCTCAGAGTAAATCGCAAAAAATTATAATTATCATGGGAGACCTGAATGTTAAATTAGTTAAGGAGAAGGATGGTGAAATAGTTGGCAAATTTGGATTAGGAACTAGCAACGAAAAATGGGTCCAGTGGTGCACGGCGAATGACAAGGTTCCAAGAACACCCAAGACGAATATGGACATAGAGAAGACCAGGAGGAGAAATGAAAAAAAGAAATCGATTGCATAGCTATCAAAATGCAGTTGTACACTGCAAAACTTATCCAAGTGCCAACTGCGGAGGCAATCAGCTCCTTGTTATATGTAAACTTAGAACGAAACTCCAGAAACTAAAGAGGCCTAAAACAGCACCCAAATTGCAATACAACAAACTCTGAAACGATCCGAAACTTTAGAATAATATATTGAAGGACAAAATAGAAATGGAAATTCGAAGTGGGACACACTAAGAGAATCTTTAGTGGTATCAGCAAAGAAAAATGGACGAAGAAAAAGCAAATGGATGACATGATATTCTCGACATGATGAAAACGAGATAGAAAACAATTCCAAGATACGGAACAGAATATAGAAAACTACACAAAGAAGCAATTGTAGTAGGTAGGCTAAAGAGGAATGGCCCAACGAAAAATGTGCAGAAATAGAAAGAATATCACGGATAAATCAGATACGTATAAAATATAAGAGATCTAACAAGACAAAAGACATACCCATCAACAGGATGCATAAAAACCAATGGACAGAACAATGATATTAGACAAAAAATATGTCAGAAATGGAACGAATTTATAGTAACAGAAATGTGGTTCAACGCAAAAATACTGTGTATACCAGGGATCGAACATATGAGCAACAGTGAGGTTTTAGAGAAAATGGAAACAAAAAGGAAACTAGTTCCACGTGCCATGTTTGATGGATGTCAGTTATCAGTTATCTCCTGTTAATTTCCCTCTGAAAGTTCTCCACTGCCTAAACCGGGTATTGAACTCACACTCTTTGGGTGCTGTCCTCAAGGACACATAGCACAGTGGATAAAGGCGTTGGTTAGATCCAGTGACAGGACCCAAATAGTGTGAGTTCAATACCCGATTTAGACAGTGGAGAACTTTCAGAGGGAAATTAACAGGAGATAACTGACAACTGACGTCCATCAAACATGGCACGTGGAACTAGAACAGTCTACCCCAGTGAGCGAAATAAAGGGTTCAGTTCGACATTCAAACCAACTGAAGAAGGCTGGCGCGTACAACGGCCGAAACCTTGTGATAAATATGGCGACAAAGATGAGGACAATAGTCCGAATAATGTAAATAATGTACATAATACCTCATCTCAGAAATATAGACAGACCCAAAAAGGAAACTTATTCTTAACATCAGAAAGAGACAGCTGAAATTTCTGGGGCGCATAATGAAAAAGGAGTGCTTGGAAAATCTGATACTCACAAGACAAATTGAGGGAAAGAGAGACAGAGGAAAGCAGCGTGTAGTATACTTGATGGGCTTGAGTAAATGGATGGTAGAACAGGGTTTGAGAGCAACAAAGGACATGAAGATGTGGAAGGCTATGGTCGCCTGTCCTGAAGGGACACGGCATATAGAAGAAAATAAAACGGCATCCAACATTAAAAAACGACCTTCACTGGGAAAATTGCTAAATAGATCAGCGCTTCTTATCCGGGTTTTTAAGTTGCCATCTAAGTGTAATCTCCTGCTCATTAATCGTTTTATCGTCTTCGGGTAGTACGCAGCAAAACACAAGATGGGCATGGTTGTGGTGACTGCAGCAGCACCTTCCCTGCTGTAGAAAGAGGGAAGTATAAAAGATGTGATACGGGAAGGAGTGATTTGGTAATATTTGTCGTTACCCACAAGTACGCGCCGATTGGTGCAACACATTTTTTCTTTCTCTCTATGGCTCTGCTTCTAAGTGAGCTGCATATTTCATAACTGAGCCAAAGGTTTCAAATACTAATTTTTTAAATACTGATTTTGAAAGCACGAAATCTCTTCTTTTGGTAGATTGTCACAACATAATAATTTACTCTACTTTGACAAGTCTATTGATTATTTGCATATTTCCTAACAATTTTAGATATATGTATTATTCAAGTCGACATAAAATAAAATGATTACAAAAACATGGTTTAGAAGAATGATTTTCAAGGTAGGAAGTCCCAACAGACTTACATTTATTGTCAGTAAACAATTTTCTTTTTAATCCAACTTAAGTTTACATTCGAATTAATACAGGTGTGTATTCCCAGTCGTCGTCAAGGGTCAGTTTTCATGCCTACGTAAAATAACAATATTTCGAATTCTAATTTTCATGACACCACACGCCCAAATAGAGCAGCGCAATTTTATTACCTACTTTTCCTATCTATGCGCCAAAATTAGTTTGTGTGATTCTAAACTAGGCTCAGTAAATATCCGCAATTTATTTTTTAAATCAATTTAATTCTCTCCTTAAAATTTTATGCGTCTTCAGCTAAAGTCAATGGAAGATAATTGAGAGAGAATAATTTAAATTCTCGTAAATGTTAAATAATGATGAAGTGCGTCTATTTTTAATATCATTTGGTGCTTTAATGAAAACGATATGACAGAAATGTGCATTTCAACTTACTAATGAGAAAAAGAAATATCTTGAAGGAAACAAGTTAAAAATATCGACAGATATTCATTAATATACCAATTAAAATCAATTCATTTTAAGAGCGCTCGGTATATGAAAGTACTTCTGAAGCATCTGACACCAAACACGCATTTTGCTAAACAAAGACAACATTCTGTAAAAACCGTAAGAGCTCAGTTATTCTGTTGACTGACAATTCGATATATCCCTCTGCTTCCAATATCTGACGAATATCTGATGATGCTCTCTAATCGCAAAGGATTATCGTAAGGTTTAATGTGTATCCTCCTCCTTTCACGTATGGTCTATGAATTAGAAGACAACAGCAGGGAGATGAATTAATGTTTGGGGAGAGTATTGTAGACAATAAACTATAGCTATATTTAAAGTTGATGAGGGTATCAGATAAACGCAGAACGTTCATGTAAGTTCTTGGACAAGATAATTTTTTGAGTGATACAGGCTACAAGCAAGAAGAGTTAAGCTTACCGAGATATTAATACAGGGAAATGCCATTATACTACTTTGAATATACGCTCTTTAGCTCTAGAGGGCGTCGTCAGTGATGTTCTGAATTGGGTCATTAGGCAGTTTCGGGTCTTTCAAACACCATACCCCCCTCA